CCTTGCTCTGCACTGCTTTCTGGTGCTGCTCAAGGGTCAAGACGTACTAGTCCGATCAGACAATACCGCCACAGTAGCGTACATCAACCATCAAGGTGGTCTACGCTCCCGCCGTATGTCGCAACTCGCCCGCCACCGCCTCTTATGGAGTTAGAAGCATCTGAGGTCGCTTCGAGCCGTTACATTCCCGGAGCCCTGAACTGTGCAGCCGACTCCATCCCCAGTCGGTTCAGCTGATTTTGGACCAGTTCGAGGACGCACAGATAGATCTGTTTGCCTCTCACGACTCGACCCATTGCGCCCTGTATTATTCCCTGACCGAGGGCACGTTCGGCACGGATGCACTGGCGCACAGCTGGCCGCGGGGCCGCAAGTATGCGTTTCCCCCAGTGAGCGTTCTTACGCAGACCCTGCGCAAGGTCCGGGAGGACGAGGAGCAGGTCATTCTGATCGCGACGCTCTGGCCCACACGGACCTGGTTCTCCGAACTCGTACTCCTCGCGACCTGGCCAATTCCTCTGAGGAAGGACCTCCTTTCTCAGGGACGGGGCACCCTATGGCACCCTCGTCCCGATCTTTGGAACCTCCACGTGTGGCTCCTGGACGGGACAAGGCAGGTTTGAGTACCCTACCACCAGCGGTGGTGGCTACCATCACTTCCGCTAGAGCGTCGTCCACGAGACACGCCTACACGTTGAAGTGGAACCTCTTCGTCAACTGGTGCTCTTCTCGCCGAGAAGACCCCCGGAGGTGTTCGATCAGGGTCGTGCTTTCTTCCTTCAAAATGGGTTGGAGCAAAGGCTGTCCCCCTCCACCCTCAAAGTATACGTTGCCGCTATTGCCGCTTGCCATGATACAGTGGAAAGTAAGTAGTCTGTAGGGAAGCACGACCTGATCGTCAGGTTCCTGAGAGGTGCGAGGAGACTGAATCCTCCTCACCCTCCTCTCGTTCCCTCTTGGGACCTCTCAGTGGTTCTTACTGCTCTGCAGAGTGCTCCCTTTGAGCCTCTGCAATCAGTGGAGATTAATTTCCTATGAAGACAGCTCTGCTGGTTGCACTGGCCTCCATCAAGAGGGTAGGGGACCTGCACGCATTCTCCATTGACGAAGCGTGCCTGGAGTTCGGGACGGCTAACTCTCACGTGATCCTGAGACCCCCTGCTTGGATATGTGCCCAAGGTTCCCACCACTCCCTTCCGGGACCAGGTGGTGAATCTGCAAGCGCTGCCCCTGGAGGAGGCAGACCCAGCACTGCTCTGTCCAGTACGTGCTCTCCGCACCTATGTAGACAAAGGGTGTCTCACTGGATAGTGGACGGCATTGCTTTGGCTTACCAGCAGCAAGGTCGACCGTGCCCCCTTGGTGTAACTGCCCACTCCACCCAGAGTGTGGCGTCCTCTTCGGCTCTAGCGCATGGCGCCTCGCTAACAGACATCTGCAGAGCTTCAGGCTGGGCGACACCCAACACATTCACCAGATTCTACAATCTCCAAGTGGAGCCTGTGTCCTCTCATGTACTCGCTTCAACCAGCTAGTAACGGACCCGCTCAGGTGTCTTCGCTTGCTCGCCATTCCACTCCACGGACTGGATACATGCGATATTTTCCTCAGGTGAGCTTCCTCGTCAAGCCCTGAGTTCCTCCAGCACTGCTGACGTCGACGCCAGTATATTCGTCGATGCCTTATATATTGAAAAATGACATTTTATTCAACTTGAACATATTATTATAAGAATATACATTCTTTATTGTGAAAGATGAGAGGTAATCTGGCTAATCACACATTTAACCCTCTGGGGACTAAGCCATTTTTGGTCCGTTTTCTCTGTTTTTACATTTGGCCTTATAAACCATATGTAATGGAGATGGAACACTATGTGTTTGGTATCTATGGATTCAGAAGACCCTAAGCTAACATAAACATGCATGTAATGTGTTTATAAAGGAAGTATGAGTGAAAAATGTACTATAAACTAGAGAATTTCAAAAACGGAAATTAGATTTTTGTCATTTATTTCTGAAAATCACACATCACACAACAATAGTGAACAGTTTTTGAACAAAAAATATATTTGTCAAAGCCTTTGCTTGACAGACATGTGCAATTGTTAAATAAAATGTGTAAAGAACAATGAAAACTGTAACTTTATTTACAAATAGTCCTAGGCGTTTTTCTTAGGAATGCTTAGAATTTTCTAAGCAATGCTTTCTCCTCGTCACTCTCCAGTAATTGTTCCAGAGCTTGTTCCACCGTAAATCGTTTACTGCTTGCCATCATAAAAGTGTTAAAACAATAAATAATGCTATAATTGTTTGTGTATATATATATATTATAATTGTTCTGTCTTTCTCATATAAATCTCTGATAATCAGCTCCGTAAGCCTCCGTCCGCTCTCTCTCCTTCTCTCCATTCAACGCTGTTTGCGTCATATCCCTAACTATATAATACCACCCATTGCAAGGCTACAGAGTCCTCTGATTTGCTAGAAACGTCATGGTAACCTTCCTCTGATTGGGTAGGAACATATTTCTCCATCGGCAATATTTCCATTGGTTGTTGTTCGCGGAATCTGCCAAACAACATCGATTTCATTGGCCTTTTACATAGTGGTATTGCGCAACAAGGAAGTGTGTATATTTACAAGCCGGGTGAGTTATCACTGTTTTCAGCGGAATCTGAGGAAGACGGTGAAAAAGACCGCAGCTCTCTATCATTAATAGTTTTTAAGATAATTACACATTTGTAAAAGTATGCCATTTTGGGCGGTACCGCCCGATCCGTCCCCAGAGGGTTAAAGTCCATATTGATCTATTGCCTGCGCGTTGGCTAGGTGCATCCGTGTGCATGGGTGACCCCCACATGTGTATTCCACTGTAAGCCTCTCTGAGCATGTGTCTTTCCATTGGCAAGCCACCTTGCCACCCCTGGGGTTGAAAAATTCCACCTGCGGCTGGACACCCCAGTGTTCTCCATATGCTTCCCTCTGGGTCATATGTGTATTTTCTAAGTCCCCCTCCCCCCCTCCCCTCCCCCTCTGGGCTGGCATTAATTGCATATTTCTCTGACATATGAGATATGCTCCCCAGTGTACCTTGGTATTCCTGTGCTAAATAGGAGTCCTTCGTCCATGCTAGTTTCACGACAGGGAACTCAGATATACGCAGGGCACTGGAAGACAGCTGTGAAGGTGGCGTGATTAGACTGGTAACCCCATTTGTCGTCGTCCGACGTAACTCGGAGTGAAAACGAAAGGGAACGTCTCGGTTACGGATGTAACCCTCGTTCCGAGTCACGTTACGTCTCCCTGCCACTTCCGCTGTACCGCTGGAACAGCCGAGTTCAGTCTTGGCTTCTCAGCGAAGAAACATATCTGTATATTGCTGGCGTTCTCCTTTTATACCCACGCGGTGGGGCGGAGTTACGCCATGCAAATTCCACAGACCCATGGCATTTCCTTGCCATTGGCTCGTTTTATTTCTTTCGAAGATGAGAGGCTTCTAAGCGAACCCCATTCGTCGCCATCCGACGTAACGTCTCCGTTCCCTACTCAGGGAACGAGGGTTACATCCGTAACCGAGATGTTACGCTTGGTGGTACAGTTTTGGTGGCACTGAAATTACATAATTAAATTAATTTGAAAAAAATTGTTACGATTACGATTGTTGGTTGGGTTACATGCCATATCAAATCTTTTCCATTTTCCATCTGCTTTTAACAAAACTAAGATTACGCCCTGTGTCACAGTCCTTTTTTCCCCGAGAGAGATTCAGCTAAATTATTTATTTGCTGAGTAAATTTCACTCTACTAAAATACACAGTGTCCCCTCTGATCCTTAGTGTCTGTCAAACCCCAGACATATTGAAGAACCATTCTGCTTTTGCCTTCTGGTAAGCATTGAATGAAAGGGCATTGAAGCAAATTCTAACACCAAAACACAAGAAATGACCTTTAGATTATTTGTTCATCACAAGATTAATAATGTGTGTGTAAAGTAAATAATTTTGATTTCATGCCGTTTAAATATAATAGAAATATATGCTGTCACAAAATTGCAATGTAAATGTACAGCTTAAGTTTATTTAAAATTGTTCATTGTGAGCAGACAACAATGGAAAATGGTCCCAAATGTTACAAAAATACATATAACATGTATCAAGCTTGTTAAAATGTGGATACAAAAATATTCAATATGTGTTACACATGACTGTAAAGAATTTGGGTCATGCTGCTTGTGAATTTATCATTTGAAATGTACCGTATGTTGCCTGTGTAGCATGCCGTATGGACATATTACTCACTTTCACAGCACATATACACAGTTAATATACACAACATCCAGTTCTTCTGCTTTGCGCTGACATATTAAGCTTTACCAATCTAAAACAACAAACAGTGTATCATTCCAAAACCAGACACAGCCTGTACAGCGCAACTGAATAAAATAGGCACCTTTTCCTATATGCACTTCACAAAATTCACAAAGTCAGCTAACTAAGTGATATTTGTCCTTTTATATATTGAAAAATGACATTTTATTCAACTTGAACATATTATTATAAGAATATACATTCTTCATTGTGAAAGATGAGAGGTAATCTGGCTAATCACACATTTAAAATAAAAAAAATGAAGTAATCAGACAATGCTGGGCAGTGATTTGAGGCTTAAACATATATTTTACTATAACCTTTGCGAGACATCCCACCTGTAGCATCAAAATTAATTTACTGTACATTCCCTTTATATATTATCAGATGTGACTGTACATATTTATTTTACACTCCACTGGAAATGTGGCACTGACCCAGTTTGAGTCGCTTTTCCGAGACTTCACGGGCCTTGATCTGGCTGCAAGTCCATCCCAATGAGTAAAACTGTGAGACAAGAGCATTGGTGTGACAGGACGGCCTGCTTTTTTCATTTCCCTTTAGCTTTTTCATAAACACCAAAATTCTTCTAGTTGAACAAGCACTGCAAGTTGCTACTGAAACCAAAATCTATTTTGTGCCGCAGTAAAATGGAGATGGTAAGTTTACAGATGCCACATCAATAGCAATAGTGCAAACACTTAAATACCACTTCCATTGTTAGCATGAATTGGTCGATGTGTATTATTCCTTAAGATTAATAATAAGCAATGTCAAAGTCCGTGACAGTTTTATCAAGCTCCAACAGGGCCGTTCTTGTGGGAACATTGATGTCACAATGGAGTTTGTTCTTTGCACAAAAGGATTTGACATTAGACCATAAAGTCGTCATGTCACATGGCACATTGACAGTAAAACAAGCATGCACACTGAATGTTGACACTGCTGGGATGACTGATCTGGAATGATAGTGCAGAGAAGGGCATTCAGCTTCCAAACGTACCTACACACACACAGATCTGAAAACATTGTTTAAAAAAAATGAACAACATGTTTCAAAGAAACATCACATTTGGTCTCTACAGTGTATCTCCATATATTGGATATTCAACAATCCACTTTTGGTTGCCTTTTTGTTTCTTTTTTCCCATTTTTTTTTTACTTTCCTCACAAGCAAAAATATATAAGAGCAGCCCAGGTAGAGAATCCCTAACCTCTTTTTCCTACAGCGTATCATCATTCATTCTTGATGATGCTGTTGCATCTGTGTCCCTGCAGAGCCGAGTCGGCACAATATGACGAAAAAGGTCTAGAACTACAATATCTCTGCTCTCCAGAAGATCACCGCGGCTTTATTTACAGGATTTATGTGTTGCAGAAGGTGATCCGATAGAGTTGTTCTCACAAGAATCTCGTTATGACTTCTATGGCATCAAATTGCGCTATATTCAGCAAAAATGTAAGGTTTAGTAGCTCATACCTCCAAATAATTATATGTAGGAACTAAGACAGTCTGAAATTCAGAACTATTCAGTAGAACATCATCATGGCCTCTCACAAGTCTCATTCTGGTGTGAAGATACCACATCATTATAGATGCTAGGTTAGACTGTGATGGAGGTTTCGTCCTGACACGCAGAGGTACGGCGAGTCTTGGGGCTGCAGCGGGTCAGCATAGAGATCTGCGTGCTGAAGTTGTTGCCGTTGCTGCCCATGGATGGGTGCTGGTATTTGGTATCGGGACCCAGGAATCTTTCAAGGTGCCATCGTCTCCATTTCCTCTTGATCTCACCTTGGACCTGAGAGACAGACAAGATCCAATCCTATCAATCAGTGATGGATAAATTGCAGTCATGCTCTACAGTTTTACATTAAAAAGCCACATTAAGGTAGTAAAATGAGTTGAAAATGCTGTTTTTTGCAACACAGCCTCACTGGAAGTATGTGACTCTGGCAACATTCCTGCAAAAACTGAAATACCTTGTTGTTTTTTTCAGATGACACAAGAGGCGCTATAAGCGATATCATTTTTTTCTCCATTGCGCATGCGGGTTTCTTACAAAGCTCATGAAGTAAACATGCCTTTGTACACATTTTTGCAAAATGATATTGCAGTTTCAAAGTGAAATCTCTAGTGGGTGATGGTAAATATTGTGTTCAATTCCCTCCAAAACAGTTAAACATGACTGTGGCAACATTTATGTATGTTGGTTAAGCACAGCATTTCGGAAATTAAATGTCCGTTGAGTGGCTCTAAAAGGTTGATGCTCTGTCATGTTTGAAAATAACATACTACCTACACTAAACCCTACTCCAACCTAACTCATAGTGAGAGAATAAACAAATTGATGAAGCAACCATGCCATTTTAGCTTGCTTCTAAAATTATTTTATTGTGATGGCATTTGCAGGTCCTCGTAGAACCTAAGCTTGCCACATCATAAGTTCAATGCTGTACCAGAGGAGCTCACGAGCAAGTTTACTACATCAGAAAAGCTGGTTATGCTCTATGGTAAAAATGTTTTAAATTCAGAACATAGTATTGTGCAAGGAGCCGTGCAAAAATAAATCTTTATTGATCAATTATCTGCGGCCCTGTAATCATAATTTGTGTGAAAAGGGAAAAAATGCGTTGGTGTTTTACTGCCTCTGTTTAGAAATTCTGTTCTAGAAATGTAGCAGTCACATACAGTTGTAATAGAAATGTATAGACTTTCAGCTGTTTGCAACGAACAAATCAAACAAAAGTGGTTTCCCCAAATTCAACTGAAAATGCAACTTACCTGGCGCTAGAGCCTGCACCTGTGACCCTTTTATTTAATCTGTACAAGCTAGAAGCCCCAAGACGCTATGAACATCAATGCATATATCAAAGTAATAGGCCACCACTGTCAGTACATCTAGAGCTATTTACAGCATGTGTGAGCTAACAGAATATAAGCCAGGGTTTGAGCTTTTAGCTTTAGAGAAATTAAATAAAACTTTAATATACTGTAGGACGTGGCTTCTGATCAGTTGTAAATGAATGCACCTAAACATTTCCATCCATCCATATATCCATCCATCTGTCTTACCTCTCCATTCAGAAAACAGTAGAGTACAGCAACCACAAAACCCTGTTAAAACAAATGAAAGCAACTTACTCGTACGTCACTATAGGTACAGTGTAGGCATTGCAAGGCCGTTCATTCAAAGCATTACACACAGGAATGACAATGTGCTAAATGTCTAGAGATTCCCATTTCCCACCAGACTGTCTATGACTGTGGCCTAAAAATATAGGTTCGAGTCCTGAAGCAGACAAAAGTATATTTAACTAAGGGGGGCAGATACTTCTTGAATTCATGCCAGTCATTCTGGTGGCTCTGCCTAAGAAACCTATAATTGGGGCACTTTTTTTTGTCCCCAGAGCTTATTTTTATTAAAACTAACAGCTTTTTTTGTATATGAAGGTCACATTTAAAACTGTCTTGGAAACTTTTTACCATGCCTTTTATTTTTTATTTTTTTATTTTAGTTTAGTTTTTGCCCAATTTTAAATTTGTTTTTAAATATAGATTTTATTATACGTGAGAATGTATATATATATACAGCTCTGGAAAACATTTAGAGACCACTGCAAAATAATCAGTTTCACTGGTTTTACTATTTATAGATATGTGTTTGGGTAAAATTAACATTTTTGTTTTATTCTATAAACTACTGACAACATTTCTCCCAAATTCCAAATAAAAATATTGTCATTTAGAGCATTTATTTGCAGGAAACGACAACTTGTCAAAATAACAAAAAAGATGCCGTGTTGTCAGACCTCAAATAATGGAAAGTAAATAAGTTCATATTAATTTTTAAACAACACAATACTAATGTTTTAACTTAGGAAGAGTTCAGAAATAAATATTTGGTGGAATAACCCTGATTTTCAATCACAGCTTTCATGCGTCTTGGCATGCTCTCCACCAGTCTTTCACGTTGATGTTGGGTGAATTTATGCCACTCCTGGTGCAAAAATTCAAGCAGCTCGGCTTTGTTTGATGGCTTGTGACCATCCATCTTCCTCTTGATCACATTCCAGAGGTTTTCAATGGGGTTCAGGTCTGGAGATTGGGCTGGCCACGACAGAGTCTTGATCTGGTGGTCCTCCATCCACACCTTGATTGACCTGGATGTGGGGCATGGAGCATTGTCCTGCTGGAAAACATTGTCAGAGCAGAAGGAAGCAAGTGTTCTTCCAGGACAACCTTGTACGTGGCTTGATTCATGCGTCCTTCACAAAGACAAATCTCCCTGATTCCAGCCTTGCTGAAGCACCCCAGGATCATCACCGATCCTCCACCCAATTTCACAGTGGGTGTGAGACACCGTGGCTTGTAGGCCTCTCCAGGTCTCCGTCTAACCATTAGACGACCAGGTGTTGGACAAAGCTGAAAATTGATGATCCTGGGGTGCTTCAGCAAGGCTGCAATCGGGCAGATTTGTCTTTGTGAAGGACGCATGAATCAAGCCAAGTACAAGGTTGTCCTGGAAGAACACTTGCTTCCTTCTGCTCTGACAATATTTTCCAGCAGGACAATGCTCCATGCCCCACATCCAGGTCAATCAAGGTGTGGATGGAGGACAACCAGATCAAGACTCTGTCATGGCCAGCTCAATCTCCAGACCTGAGGTTTAACCGCGAGGTTTATGACCGGCTTAATTAAGGCTGGAAGGGACCGGGGAGTGAGTATGTGCATATGTGTGTATCTGTGTGCGTGTATGTGTGTGTGGCCTGCACTCAGTGACGGAGCCACTCCGTCACAACCCCATTGAAAACCTCTGGAATGTGATCAAGAGGAAGATGGATGGTCACAAGCCATCAAACAAAGCCGAGCTGCTTGAATTTTTGCACCAGGAGTGGCATAAAGTCACCCAACATCAACGTGAAAGACTGGTGGAGAGCATGCCAAGACGCATGAAAGCTGTGATTGAAAATCAGGGTTATTCCACCAAATATTTATTTCTGAACTCTTCCTAAGTTAAAACATTAGTATTGTGTTAATAATGGTATTTACTTTCCATTATTTGAGATCTGACAACACGACATCTTTTTTGTTATTTTGACAAGTTGTCGTTTCCTGCAAATAAATGCTCTAAATGACAATATTTTTATTTGGAATTTGGGAGAAATATTGTCAGTAGTTTATAGAATAAAACAAAAATGTTAATTTTACCCAAACACATACCTATAGATAGTAAAACCAGAGAAACTGATAATTTTGCAGTGGTCTCTTACTTTTTTCCAGAGCTGTATATATATATATAATACTTAGTGAATAAAAATGGTTATTTTTCTCCACCATAATTTTCAACGCAGAATACCATTAAACAATACATCATTTGAGATGTGGAGGAAATGTCCATGATCTTAAATTAAAATGAATAAATTAACGAGAGTGTGATAAGTGTTTTTATGAGAGTTTATTTTCTAAACATCCACAGGCTAAAAAAGCCAAACACCCAATTATGCCATTAAAAAAACAACAGCCAATAGCTAAAGTGTGTGAGACAGAGATGCTCTTTGGAGACTGTTTGAGGACCCCTGAGCAGTTCTACCAGACATCATTAAACTATTCTGCCATTTGAACAACAGTCCTACCATTAGCCTGAGAGCATTTCCTGTCACTTGGGACTATATATTGATATTTGGGCTCTACTTTTTTTTTCTTTTCTTTTTTTCAAAGATAGTGTGAGTGATTAAATCCTCAGACATACCTGAAATGACCCAAGAATGAGGTCAAACACAAGCCTTAGTTCAGTTTTTATGTTCTCTGGAATGAAAGCGAATATGATGAAGTTTATCCCAAAGAGTGGAATCAACAAAAGTGTGGATTTTGCCAGCCTCCTATAGAAAAAAAGGGGGGGGGGGGAGAAACATAACAAAAAGCATTATGCGACACTTTGTTGTCATTCATAACCTGCACTCAGCACGGGTCTGAGAATGATATTATTACCAGGTTATATCCAAAAGCATATTACTGGAATAACAACATTAGTGATGCTGGGTAGAAAATTGCAGGTGCTTAAGAACCGCGTCTTGTTTTGTACGAACTGCACAGTGCAGAGTTACTCAAGGACAAAGGACATTAAATCATCCGAACAATGGCGGAGAGAGCCACTGACATTTTAGATGATGAGATTGCAGTGCAGTCGGTTCTCACTCGCTGCTGGAGAGACCAGCTAAAATATCCCCATATTTTATGCCTGTGTTAAAATTACATAAACTAAAATGCTTCTCATGTACCTCCCATCCTCACCCGTCCGAAAAGACCAGAATAGCTGATCTACAGCAGAAGTTGTGCTTTAGATGCTGATGTCCCCATAACTATCTTAACCAACAAGACTCTTGTGGCCAATTGGCTTTTGTTTTGTGATGGTCTTGCTGGTCAGCCTCAGGCTGGTCTAAAAGCTAGACCAGCACTTATCCACTTTAACCAATCTTGGCCAGCATTTAAAGGGATAGTTTACCCAAAAATCCAAAATGCATAAACACCATAAACAAAGTAAAAGTAGTCATTTGCTATATTCCAAAGTCATACTATACCTGTGAGGAAAAGGCTGAAATTTAAGTCGCTATTCATTTTTCACCTTTGCTGCAGTTCTCGAATCTTATTCACATTTTTTCAAGATGTCTCAAAGTCTCACGGAAGAAAGTAAGTCAAATGGGTTTGGAATGATGTGAGGGTGAGTAAATGACGACAGAATTTTCATTTTGTGTGAACTATCCCTTTTTACCCTTTTGAATTTCAAGCTGGTCTTCTCAGAAGGGTGAGGAGATTAAAGAGAACAAAGGACAGAATGAATCTTATTTTAAAGCAAAAACCTGTTTGAATGGAGTCCAAAATACTTACGAATATTGGTTTGATTCATTTCTCCCAATGTCAGGACAGTTGATCTTCTGCCGCAGTATCCGGATGATACAAATGAACAGGATAAAGTTCATCTGTTGTTGGTGGAAAAACAAAGTAACAAAATAGTGGATGTCGTTATTTTGCTTCATGTCATGATTCAGCAAAGATTACCTAAACCACTGAGGGGTCATAAAGTCAATGGTCCCGAAGCACAGTGTTTATTATTACTGTCTCGAAGAAAGCAGGGAACCAAGTCTATTAGCAAAGGTACAGAACAAAACTACCTCCTTAAGATGGCAGCGAGACAGATAACATTAACTCTAAGTAGACAAGATGGCCTGTATTAAGACTTTTTGCTTTCTGACTAGCAAAAAGAAGCAATAACTGTGCAATAGGCATGTCTGAGTGGAGGAAGACAAGAAGTGCCTCAGTTTTCCAGCCTAAAATAGCAAATCCCAGACAGTATAAATAAATCGCCATAAACATTCGATTCGATTGACAGATCTCTCTCTCTCTCTCAAGCGCTTCTCTCTTTCCAAGATGAAAAGCCAAGAAGGGCTTTTAAGAGCGTTTTTCACACCTTTCAGCCCTTATTGATATTTCATGTATAATGTAAATCCCTGGAGGGAAACATTGCCTGGCACATAGGACAACAGGTTTTGTGTTACTTAAATCTTAACACTCAGCACTAAAGCAAATCATTATATTGTAAGGTTATAAACAGGAAAACTGAAAAAAAGCCAGAACACAAAGTAAAACCCATGAGAGATTGACTGCCATGAAGTTTTCACAATAATTATTAGAAGCTTGCTTACAGATGTATGTGTATCTATCTAATATTTTTTGTTATCTGAGAGCTTTCAATAATTATTACACTGGAAATTATATTAATTATGTGGAGCCAGATTGACCCATGGATTTGTAGGGCCCTAATAAAGATCACGAAAAGATGCCTTTTCTTTTAGGAGAAAGAGAAAACTTACAAAATATACACAAAATTCTAAAGAATGAAAAAATATTAAAAGATTATTTAAATAATTTAAAAATATAAAAATAAAAGCATTAAAAATAAAACAATAAAAAAGAGAAAGCATTAAAACTACAAAAAGAATGAAAATATACTAAAAATATATAAATATAAATTAAAAAATATAAAAGCATTAAAGATTAAAAATAAATTAAAAAGAACACTCTAAAATATATATAATACTAAATAGAATGAAAAATATGGGGGGAAATATAAAAATAAAAGCATTTAAAAAGTACAAATATGCAAAAGAGAAAGCAATCTAGAAATAACTAATGTTTAAAATATATAAAAATTGCAAAACACTAATGAATTTTTATATAATATATTTATTGAAAGGGCATCTCACCAGAATTGAAGCTAATATGGGGGTTTTGATAATCCACCAGAATGGGTCGGAATTTTCGATTATGTCCCAGCATCTAAAAAAAAAAAAAAAAAAAACGGCATACAAATGTCATGTACACATTTCTGCTTGCATTTTTACATAAAATCATTTAAGCCTTTGACTGATGTGTTTATCTTACCCCACATCTTTGAAGTAAGCCTTGGCAAAGCTCCAAGCCATGATAAAAACCGCTGGGCCTCCTGCAGCGAGATAAAATAGAGTGTAAATTCAGTCAGTTGCTTTATATGGCTTACTGACATAATCAGTATGTCAAAGGTTAACAAAAGGGTGAGTAAAAAGGTTAATAAAGATGCACATAAATATTATGACACCTACCCCAACCAATCAGAATGTACCACCAGAAGTACTTCCTCTCTGAGAAGAAGGAGACGGCCAACAGAGCATGAAGATACAGACCTTCCACTAGGAGCCAGAAGAAGCTTGCCATAATGCAATACTGGAAAAAGACAATCACAGCTTTGCAGCCAACCTGAAAATCAGACCAAAAAAATGAAAATGGCTTTGAAGAAGTCATTCACACCCTCGAGTGCTCATCTTTTAGGTGCACCCTGATATTTACCACGATGATAAAAACAATTTGTAAAACGTCCGTGCTGCAGTGCAACTACTGAATATGCATATGTCACCATGATCATTTCAGATATCTCGTTATAAAGAAATCCACTCTTCATTCAATAGCTTCCAAATTACACATAAAGTACCATTGAGTGATAAACTTTACTGGCAAATTAAATTAAATTGAAACAAAGCAGATACGCTCTTTAAAAAAAGGATCCAAAAGGGTTTTTTCGTAGCGTTGCCACAGAAAAAAAACAAAACATTTTTGGTTCCCCAAAGAACCCCTCATTGAACAGGAATTAAAATAACCTTTTTGTGTGTGTGTGTGTGTGTGTGTCTGAAGAACATTTTAAAAATCTAACCTTTTTTTAACCTTTCTTCACTATAAAAAAGCTTTTGTGGAATGGAAAGGTTCAGTGGATGTTAAAGGTTCTTCATGGAACCACAGATGTCAATAAAGAACCTCTATTTTTAGGATTGTAGCTAAAGCATTGATTTGATTGTTGGTTTATTATTTGCTATACAGTATGTAAAAAGGACATTTTAATAGACAATTTCTGACTGTTTACAGAGTTAAACATTACATGGTTGAAGCATGTAAGTGGTAACATTTCTAAAAATGCACATTTAAGAAGGTCAAAGTAAAGGAAGTTAATGGTTTTTGATAAGTTAGTAAAAATTTGCACAGGGGAAAAAATATATACATTTGTAATTTCTCAAAAACCCTAATTCGATGTAGATAATTATTTATGTCATGTATTTCCTAGATAGGGCTCCCCTTATTTGAGTTCCTCTCACTTCCAGAGAAATGTAAGCGCTGCTAACAGGCATGAAACATGAAAGCAGTGGTTCTGTTTGGGCAGAACCGGTGGGAGGTAGAGAGGAGTGTGTTGCATGAGGACAGCGAGACATGGCAGGCAGACTGCAGGAAGACTATAAACAAATAACTGTGAGACAAACACAATGGAATGAAATCAGACAGGAGGGTGTGAGTGGTTGAAGGCAAAAAGAAAAGAGCAAAGATACAGCATCATGCTGAAAATGCCATGTCCTCATGCTCAAGAGCAGAATGAATTAATAAGGACTCCTAACTTCTGAGTCTTCAATAAAAACAAAACCAGCAGGACAGAGCAGAAGGATGAAGGCAGAGAGCAGGACACGACATGAATGCTTTGATAATTGACAATGAACTGGCTCAGGACTGCAAACACAATGGGTGCATCCGAAATCGCATACTCTCTCGAGTAGGTACTTATTTTGAATACGTAATTACTTGACGACCGCTAAAAAAGTATGTTCTATATAGTATGAATGTATGTAGTATGAATGTAATCTGGACGTAGTACATTCGCCATGTTGTCATTATCAAGTGACCTATCAGCGTCGCTTCACTGCCATCGTATGCACACTTCAGAATCTCGCCGAAAGTAGGTCATCTGGGTACTTTGTGCATTTTTTGTCACAAACTGTTTTTTGCCTACTGTATAGTAGGGAAGAATGTGATTTCGGATGCAGCCAAGGAGAATAAATAGGAGAGGAAACGAGGAGGGTAATGAGGGAGAGCAGGTGGGGCAAATAAACCAATAATCAGGTAACAAGGGCGGGGGTTAACCTTTTGAGTGGTACGGTCCCATATATGGGATTATTATTTCTGTGCCCCTGAGAGTACGGCCCCACATATGGGATTTAGAATGAACAGTGACGTCACATAACCCAGAGATGGACGAGCTCAGCACTTGTCATATATCAACTATTTGCAGTGTTTTCAAACACGTAATGTTAATTTAGGTTTCAGACATTTAAATAATCAGGAGGGTGTAAGTAATCACTAGTAAAACAATACATTTGGAGTTTGTAAAATGTACACTGATGTCTATGGAAGCAGCAATAACAATCTATTCAAATATAATTTGCCGACGTGTGTTATTCATATCAGATACACATAGTGTAAGTACTAAGTTTACTCTATTCTTTTCCCAGTTCACCAGCCACTTTCTTACATGTATTTTGGGAGAAACTGATGAATTTTCATGCTGTAAATCCGACTGACAGAACTCTTTGAACTGCGGGGCAAACAAACATGGTGGCACCCATGTCACGTTACAGAATGAACTGTGATGTTCATATCAATGAAACTACAATAAACTAAGGATGTGCAAGATGGTTAGTTCAGGTGAGTTTCAAATTGGAGTCGAAAAGGAGTGAAAGAAAGAATTTAAAAGTAAGCAATTTCTTTTAACTAATTTCTCTTTCCTTGCAATGTACATACACTATTGTTCAAATGTCTGAGGTAAGATGTTCTTTTTTTTTAAGACAAAATTACTTTTATTCAGCAACGACGAATTAAATTGATCAAAAGTGACAGTAAAGTCATTTATAATGCTACAAAAGATATCTATTTCAAATAAATGCTGTTCTTTTCATCTTTATTGATCAAAGAATCCTGAAAAAAAAGTATCACGGTTTCCACAAAAATATTAAGCAACAAAACTGTTTTTAACATTGATAATAATAATAAGAAATGTTTCTTAAAGTCCCCGTGAACCGGAAGTTGCAAACGACTTTTCTCCAGTGTTGTGACGTATTTTCGAGAGAAACGGAATACTAAATGACGCAAAATAGTGGGCGTGGCTTTTTTTCCAACTAGCACCTGATTGGATCTAGAAAAGTAGGTGTTGTCATTCAGCCTGTCTACTGTCAGTTGGAGGGGCGTGGTTACGGATGTTAAGCAGACACCCAAACCGTCAAACCTACGTCATCAGGAAAGGTCCTCCAATGCAGAGGGGTGGGGAAATTCCAGATTTTGATTAAAGATTACGAAGCCAAAAAATTGTTTTTGTGTGGATTGACTTGCATGGATGAACTGTTCACCACAAAACGATCAATTTAGACAAACAAAGTAAGTATGGTCAATTTTGAATTCATGGGGACTTTAAGCACCAAATTAACATATTAGAATGATTTCTGAAAGATCATGTGACACTGAATACTGAAGTAATGATGTTACTTTGACATCACAAGAATACATACTTTCATTTTGGAAACATTGTTTTATATCACCAAAAATAAAATAGGTCCAAAAGATTGACAGGTCTGGTTCAGACACCTACCTACTTGATTTTGAAAATATGTAGTATTATACATAACAATAAAACTCTCAAGTCTTTCTAAAAATACATCTTTGAGCTCTGTGATCTGAGATCATAGAAAGATTCACACATTTTAAACTCTGTTTCCTCTGCAACACTCTCAAAATGAGAGTGCATGCCTTACAGGCAGAAGAAAAGAATTGGGTGGATGAAGCAATCGACAGTTTAGACAGCAGAAGGCTCTGAATGATGCTTTCTCCTTTTGGGCTTGCAAAATGAGGCAGCGCAGGATGAATGGATCCAGCTCATAGTTCTAATGCACACAAATCATCCCAAATTACTCTGAGAGCCGCAACCTCTTGCTCAGGGCACGCGCTCCCTGAAATAGATAGAAAGCTTTCGCCGCAGGCTCAACCACACAAATGGCTAACAAACACCTTCTGCTGAGCTGAACCTCTCAACTGCCTTTTATAATGCATGTATTATGTATCATGCATAAAACCACTGCAACTAATAGTTTTCATAACACTGTTTTCTGGCAATCAGTCATTCTGCCATTCCCCATGGGCCTACTGTTATTTAAAGGTGAGAATAACGTTAATAAGGCAGCTTGACACATAACCTAGCTGTGAATATTCACTGATTCCACAGTAGATTAGTTATATTTTGTGTGCAGAAAGTCTTTAAAAGAGAGAGATGAAAGCCAGTGATCACTATGAATTTTCGTGGATACAGATGCAAACTGTGGCTTTTCCAATTTATGTCAATTTTTTTTGGCCCTAAAATACTAATATGGTAGACTTGACTTTTTTTGTTGTAAATTCTGAGGTAGAAATAGTTATCATAGACATTTTCATTTGACATTCTGTTCCACAGAAAAAAAGTCATATAAGCCTGGAGCAACCTGTGAAAAGAGCGACATTTTGAACATGTGCATTCTTTCTGCCACATTGTTTCAGACCATTTCAGATCTTTTTTTTTTACTTACAATCATCGTAAAAAGTATTTTTTTAAAGATGCAAATTCTATTTCTGGAAGTTGCATTTAAAATCCACTTGCCTTAAAAATCTGAGGAGTCAAATGCTCAGTTTGAAAGAGTATTAAACCTCTGAGGATTTTACAAACGGTCTTGATCTATTGTAAATTTCTGCTCAAACTGCAGACACCAGATCTGAAAACTGGACACGTGTTACAGCAGGACACTTCACTTTAGAAGCAAATGTGATAAGGAGCCACGTTTTCATTGAGAGGTTTATGCTCCTTTGTCAAGTTCAATCAATAGTCAACTCAACAGCTGAGTCATCTCAGAAAACGTCCTTCACTATTACTAGCAGAAAGGCAATAATGATTGCCACGACAATGCTAAATATTGTGAAACTGATTCAACTCATTTTATTAGAAGATTCAACTAAACAGCTAAAACCAGCATGAATTGCTCCAGATTGGTTTAGGCTGGTCTGGTGCAGGTCTAGGTGGAAACAGGCAACTTTTTTTTGACCAGTTTTACTGTTTTACTTGCATGGTCTAATTTAAATTTTGTCACTGTCACTATTTTCCCTGCTTTTTTAAAAAATACTTTTGCTGTTTTCCTTGCATGATCCAATTTTAATTTGGTCACGGAGACTCTTTTACCTGCTTTATACAATTTTTACTGGCATGGTCTAATTTTAATTTTGACACTCTTTTACTTGCTTTTTTTCTTTACTACTTTTGCTGTTTTCCTTGCATGGTCCAATTTTCATTTTTGTCACTGTCACTCTTTTACTTGCTTTATACTAGTATTAAAGGTGACCTATAATTCAAAATTGAATTTACCTTGGTATAGTCAAATAACAAGAGTTCAGTGCATGGACATGACATAGAGTGAATCTCAAACTGGACTGTTTTCGCGTTCTCATTTAATTCACGTTTATGAAAAACACCCCTGAAAAACGGTCGGTTCTCCACACTATACCGACTGTGACGCAATAGTCGGGATCATTAATATGTACGCCTCCAAATATTTGCATAATGCCAGCCCTCAATGCCAGGCGGAACTGCGCAGCCGAAGCATGGCAGTTGCTCAGTGTGGATGTACACATGAACACAAAAGTATTTTTTAGTTCCTTCATCTGAGCCTCTGAAGAAACAACGGGTTAATTTTATTTTCTCTGGAAATTTCCAAACATTTCACCGACAGAGCTGGCCTCGGATCGAGCTACCAAGCTACACTTTCTGATGTGTAATTGTTCAAGTTCAGACAGGTAATCTTTCTCTCAAAATCGTTCAATACTGTTTATGCATCAGTAAGTCAAGCCAGTGACTAAAATATCAGCTTCACATCGTTTCTTTTAGTAGGATGAAAATAATCGTATTTAAATTGTGAACAAATTATATACAGAAAGCGATCAAAGAACAATCTTTCCACACAGCGCGAGTTTATCTGGACACTTGCCAAACTCGTTATGAAATCAATGACGCACGTTACACTGCACAACGAAGCTCTTACTGTATTTACATCATCGTGTTTGCATTGGTGAAAGCAGAGAGAGTGCAGAAACTGCTTTGCAATGATAAGATCTTCATTCTCGCGATCAACACACTGTCATCTGCTCAATGCTCATCACGGCAACATTTTATGTGATGGGAATAGATCTAAATACTTTAAAAACATCTCACGATTCGTTAATCTCGATAGCTGTTATAGTAAAAACGTATAATAGCAGTAGTAAAAGTATTCGGGAGAGAGTTTCACATGTAATGCTTAGCTATTTCATATGCAAGCATGTCAGCCAATCACAGCAGTGGCCGCGGTTACACTGAATCCCACAGCAGACACGCCCCTTCAAACAGAGTGTTCAAATCAGAGGCTAAAAGCAGGCTAGGAAAAATGCCATTTATTTCTAAATTATGATTATTTTTTATCTAAAAAACATACTAACATTATAAGGGTAACCCAGGAAACATTATAAAATAATAAAAAAAAAACATTCTAGGGCACCTTTAATAATTTTGCTGTTTTACTTGCATGGTCTAATTTTAATTTAGTCACTGTCACTCTTTTACCTGCTTTTTACTACTTTTACTTGGTTTGCTGTTTTACTTGCATGGTCTAATTTTAATTTTGTCACTGTCACTATTTTCCCTGCTTTAAAAAAAAAATACTTTTGCTGTTTTCCTTGCATGGTCCAATTTTAATTTGGTCACGGACACTCTTTTACCTGCTTTTTACAATTTTTACTGGCATGGTCTAATTTTAATTTGGTCACGGACACTCTTTTACCTGCTTTTTACAATTTTTACTGGCATGGTCTAATTTTAATTTTGACACTCTTTTACTTGCTTTATACTAATATTAATAATTTTGATGTTTTACTCGCATGGTCTAATTTTAATTTAGTCACTGTCACTCTTTTACCTGCTTTTTACTACTTTTACTAGGTTTGCTATTTTACTTGGATGATCTAATTTTAATTTTGTTACTGTTCTTTTACCTGTTTTTTTAGTTTTAATTTTGTCACTGCTCCTCTTTTATCTGTTTTCGCAAATTTCTGTTGGTTGTTGGTTTAAGCAAAACCTAGCTGGTGAGGTTAGTCAACTAGCTTTGGTCCTGGTGGAGTTTCTGGAAATGTTACTGGTTAAACTAGACAAGAAGCTTAGTTGGACACTAGCAAACCAGTTAACATAGGCTTGTCAGCACAGTAGTGTAAAACTAGCACACAAGAAATAGCCTAAGGTGTCAGTGTAAAAAATCACCCAAACTTCACATCACATCTTGCGATTTTGCAGTTTTAAAAAGGAAAATCTGTGAAATTGAATTGGCTTGAGGGGCTACAACAATAACAGTGGGAGTACACGCCATCCAGAATGACTGGAACAAGCATTTTGGCAAGCTGGTTCAAACAGAGGTCACCAACAGCAATAAATTCAGCAGCGAGTGTGAAGTTATGCCCACGGATGTTTAGTAGCAGACATAACAGTCGAGAGGCCCAAGACACTTCAGTTAACACACCACGAGACCCGTGAGTATAAAAAAATGTAAACGTGATCAGCTGGGATAGACTATATTTACTCTGATTACTAACAATGCTAGATGAATACTTGGTTTGCTGCTTGTGGATCTCACACAGTTTGCTAATAGAAACTATTACAGACTGCTGAGGGATCCATTTGAAAATAAATAAACAGACTGTGCGATAATGAACTTACAGAGCCAGTGGAGCAGTTGTCAGACTCTTGAACAACATCATACAGCACCGCATCTTTGACGAAGACAGCAACGGCTTTCAAAATGAAGGACACGAACAGGTGCATGTGGATGTAGTTACGCGTGCAGTGGAGTTTCCTGAGGGAATACAAGGAATACAATCAGCCACACTTACTGAATCTAAAATACGTTAAGCCTGATTTCCTAGAATTTGAGAAGTCCCCTGCCCCCTAATTACATCCCGTCCTTGGAACTAATAACGGAAAAATGACAGCTAATTACACTACAAATGAAATCCTAATTGAGCTTTCTGGTCCTTGAAAGGGGTTCGTTAAATGGGTCATTTGTTGCATTGTGCTGTCCAATGTCCATTTCACACACATTTCTACTTACCGTAAACATGGGAATTCACAAAATCTGATTTAAAATTCAAGGTTATAGCTGCTCATTTAATGTCCAACATGCGTATTTAATATTATCAAGCTATGGTGCGGAGTCAAAATACTAACCACAATGCATCTACACTATGGAACAAAGTAAGTCATATGGGTTTGGAGGAATACAAGAGTGAGTAAATGATGACATAATATTGATTTTATGGGGGAGCTATTCTTTTAAGAGTACATTAAGACCTGCATAGACAGACATGCAATCTAATATCCCAGAACACCCTGAACATCTTTTTTGTTTGTTTGTATTGTCCATACCTCACACTTGTAAAACAGCAGACACTTTGTTTAAACACTGGGTTCTTTCTGCCTCTGGTGCAAAGAAAAGATTAATATTTTATAGTATGTTACAGTCGTACTCTCAAATACTGACACATCTACAAAGCTGTCATGCTGTAAATACTGTTAGCTTATAACACAATACAAGACAATACAGATATAACTTTTGTAACATAAATATTTGTAACAACCTTGTCACTTTTGATCAGTTTAAAGCATACTTGCTGAAGTAGTAATTTCTGTTAAAAGAAAAAAATCTAACTGACCTCAAACTTTCAAGAGTAATGTACTTCTCACAAAGCTAAATATGTGTGTTGTGTATACACAACACAATGCATTCTGCATTTTGTCTCTACATGCAAATATTATCCCAGGAGTTCCTTTTTGTTTTAAAGGGGTGGTTGATTATGATTTCACTTTTTTAAACTTTAGTTATTGTGTTTGGGCATAAATAACATCTGCTCAAGTTACAATGCTCAAAGTTTAAAGCAAAGGAAGATATTTTCTTTTAAAGAACCCCTCCCGGGTTAGTGACATCACTAACCCTAGAATTTACATAAACCCCGCCCCCGGAAACGCGATTTATAGATTATCATGACAGAATATGCTAATCAATGACTAGAAGATAACTACACATAAGCTACATAAATTCATCAACTAACCATTCAGAAATGTCCTGTTGGATTCTACATGTTGTCACTTCTTGAGTCTCCCCATCTTTGTCTGACTCGGGTTTGAACATAAAAGGCTAAAAGTGCACGCTTTTCAGTGCACATCTGTGTGAGGTAAAATGACACAAGCTGTTGAAGCTCCGCCCTCTGTGCCGGGAGCGATATTTTTTTTCACAGGATGGTAGGGGAAGACTCATGAATATTCTTTAGGGAACTCATCCCTGATTGGTCTGATGACCTACCCCCTAACCCCGCCCCTAAACCTACCCGTCACTGGGAGTCTGATGACCTACCCCTAACCCCGCCCCTAAACCTACCCGTCACTGGGAGTCTGATGACCTACCCCTAACCCCGCCCCTAAACCTACCCGTCACTGGGGGTCTGATGACCTACCCCTAACCCCGCCCCTTAACCTACCAGTCACTGGGGTTAAGACCAATCAGGGATGAGTTCCCTAATGAATATTCATGAGTCTTCCCCTACCATCCTGTGAAAAAAAAATATCGCGTGCCGGGAGCAGCAGCTTATTTGCATTTAAAGTGACAGACACAGAAATGGTGCATTTTTGCTCACCCTCAAAAAGTGACAATTTCAACATGCTATATAAAAATATCTGTGGGTATTTTGAGCTAAAACTTCACACTCTGGGGACATCAAAGACTTATTTTAAGTCAAAGTCTTAGATTAAACATGTTTTTCAGCAGCTTATTATTAAGCTTATTGGCTCAAGTCTTTCGGTAACACTTTAAGGCATCATTTGTTAACATGAACTAACCATGCACAATATGTTTTTACTGCATTTCTTAATGTTAGTTAATGCAAATGTTAATGTTAATGTTAGTTCAGAGCATTAACTGCAACATTAACAGATATAACTTTTGAACTAGTATTAATAAATGAATACATAGTATTAAATGTATTAGCAAAGCCTGAGATTAACCAAGATTAATAAATGCTGTAGTAGAAGTATTTTTAGTTCAGGTTAACTAATGTAGTAGTTAGTGAATGATTTAAACAGTAAAACAGTATATGAAACCCTATCGTAAAGTGTTACCAGTCTTTCTTTTGATTACCAACTTCATCATTGAAGAGTCTGTTTATATTGAGTTTCCTAGAATTTGTCTGGTTTTTGACTTATGCTATTGGATTTTAATTTGTCTAGCTTCACTGGTGATGTCTTGCTTCAATTTGTTACAATTATGTGTCCAGTAAGATTAATTCTAAACAATGTGGAAAAGTTACTATTGATTACTCCATGAAATCCAATTGTATTGTTTCTGTGGCAAAAGCCTGCTGAGATGGGCCAAAAATATTATACATTACAGCAGGTCGAAATCAATGAATCTCACTTTTGTGGCCACTACAGCATCAAACCCTTGGTTTGGATATTTGATAAGGTTCCTACTTATGTTTAGTTTAGTAAAATCAAAAAAGATTTTTTTTACAGTGTATGGACAATAACATTGAAATTAAGATTCAAAAACACATGTGAACCAGTGATGAAGCGTTGGTTTTTATATAAGTTGCAGTATTTCATTGCATAACATTGCAGTTCTGACTATAACTTTGCATTCATTTGAGTTAAAGGTCAAATCCGTTGTTTCCTTTAACCTAGCACTCATGCGCAGGCATGATGTCTCTGGTTTGCTCATTTCACATGCTGTGATCTGACACTATCAGCACGATTTTACAGACACACGGGTCTATGTTGTGTCTCTAGTGTGTGGCCATCTGCAGGATAACCTTGCATTATACCAATGACAGGTTTAGACCCTACAAAACTTTTTTACCAAGTGTTTCTTGGTAAAGGAACAATTTAATTAGACCACAGACTGTGTTTCCACCAACCAATGACAACGTGTGACCTGAGTCATTCAATGGAGTGGGAGCAAGTGTTCAAACCGGCAATAATAACCTGAGGTGTGATCAGGTCTTCAGCCCCTGTCAGTCCCTGAAATCCCACACCAGACTGATATAGTCTCAGTTAAGACTGCTAAAGCCTGCAGCTCGAGTGCAGATAGTGTTAAGAGATGGGATTAGGACTGATTACTTCGCTCCAGAGCTGAACATGAGCAGCTTTACTGCTCTGCCATACTTGTGATACACATGAACCTTATTACTGATGGGAATGACAGCATTAAGGGTGGGTTGTGGTGGTTAAACCTCGGGTTGGTAATCAGAAAGAGAACGCCGTGAACTATCATATTTGTGCCCTTGAGCAAAGCACTTAACCCCAGGATGCTCCAAGGAGGATTGATGCTGTAATAACTGTGCTGTGAGTTGCTGAAAGTATCCGTTTATGACTGTTTACAGCAGAACTTGTGCATTTTTATAGGTCAGCTTCTTACTAGGTTTATCAGATGAGGACTAGACGGAGTCCTGGTTTTATGAGTCCTGTCCCCAAAAATGTCCCCATTTTATAGTTCTATAGTTAAGTTCTAAACACCCTGCATATACAGAAATAAGCCTTACCAACATAACCTGTTGGTTGTCAGAGCATACTTACAGTAGTGAATATTTTAAAGGGGCTATATATAATAATTTTCATGCATTAATCGCTTTTTTTATTCCCAATGTGTGAACAGCTTCGAACAAAACGTAAAAAATGAGACATTCCATGACTTGACTATAGGCCGGATGTGACGTTTACAGTATGTGCGCTCCGGGGAGTTAATTATAGAACTGATAATTCAGTGATAGTTTCCATTTCAGAAAGCTGATCACCTTATTATGAACAAGATACATCCATAGCAGTTAGTGTAATGAGCATGTCACAGTAATGTGCCATGTCAAAAATTAATCATCCACCAGAACAGCATCATTAATAGTCTAATCCACTACAAATGTAATGTTTAATTCATACACAAATAATGTTGCCTAAGTGATTTGAACGCTAACTTGGTGCCGCTTAAATGGTTTTAAATTAAATCGAGTTTGTGGTTCAAAGTATCACTACTGGGTTTATTTATGAACACTGCACTGACATGATTCTCTGATGGTGAAGAGTCTTCTTTGGCCTAGATGAAATGTGTGTTGGAAAATACATGTAAGAAAGCTCTTATCTCTGTCATTAGCAGGGCGTTCTCTCTCTAGTGAGCCAGATCAATCACTGTAGTCTCACAACGGAAGCATGTTGCTCGATGTTTAAACCTCGACAGCTTCAGCGATTCAGTGACTCGTTCCATGACACCTCATGGCAGGGGCGTAGCCAGTATTGGGCCAGGGCGGCACTGGCCCGCCCACATTACTCACTGGCCCGCCCAGGCAAGTTTGATAAAAATACATTTTTAGTTTATTTTTATTCAAATGTATTTAAGAAAATATATTAATATATACCTGATTTATTGTTGACTGCTGTGTGTGTTTAATTCGTTTTCCGAATAAAATGAAACTGTCGAAGCAAGTTGTAGAAAGCCTCTCTCCGGAACGTTATTGGTTGCTATGGTTGCTGGGGGTTCCAACAGGAAAACTCACAAGCGTCGTCGGCGCTAGAGATGGGATTTATGGCTCTTTGAGGAGATCCGGATCTTTGCGATCCGTTCCTTTCAAAGAGCCGTTCAAAAGAACGGCTCTTTTGGCTCTTTTTAAATATTTAGTCAGTTTAAAGAAGCCAGCTTGGGGGAATCTCAGTTTATCCTGGAAATAATCACTGGGAGGAATGATGAGGTGAGATTTGTAGTCAATTAATTAAAACTCAGATATCACACACCAATATCTGAGTTTGAATTATTCTGAAATATTGATTATTACCTCATTTGTCATGTGTGGACTATATTCCATAGGGTTGCACAACATCCCTCTGCTTAGAAAGTGATATCACTATTTTGGATTTACCTTTAGTACAAAGTATGTGTATGTGTAAAGCTATGTTGACTTATGTTATTCATACAATACCACAAGAACATTTTGATAAAAAACAAAAACTATTTAAAGTTGTAAATATATGCTGTAGATACAATAACATGAACACAAAATGCAATGTAAATAAATACAAAGCAGTTCCTTTGTATTTATTTACAAAGGAACTTAGTGTTACTTTAGTGGGGTTTTTTTTTTTTTTTTTAACTGGAGTAACCATGTGACGGCATAAGTCATTGGCTCTGCTCCTACCCAATGACAGCACGTAGGGTTTTTTCCCACTGGAGTACTCACGTAAAGGATGCGCGCGCGTGCACAACTATCATCATGCTGTTAGGCTGCGTTCACATATCGCGCCTAAAAACGCGTAGAAAACGCTGGGCGCGCCGCATTCTTTTTTTTCAAAACGCTAGGGCGGTTGCGCTCCGGTTGGTTCTTGTCACGTGACCTACTGTGCGCTTATGGTGCGCTTGCGGCATTCTGAAAAGTTGAGATGTTTTTATCTCGATGCGGCGCGGACGCGCCTGGAAAAAACGAGCGCGTCGCACCGCGACCGCGTCGCTTCCATTATGAGCGCGCAAACCGCGCGCCTCCATTTGAAATAATGAACTTGAGCGCGCAAAAGACGCGATATGTGAACGGGCCCTTAGGCAGTAGCACCCCTGCCCTGGGTGCGCCCCTTCCCCTATAACTGAGGAGCTAATTTGTGTGCATCTGTGTGAAACACGCATGAAAAAAGAACGACAGAAAGAACGGCTCCCCTCCAGCCGCGACTCGGCTCCCATCGTTCATGTTTATGAGCCGTTCAAAAGAATCGGTTCGTTCGCGAACGTCACAACTCTAGTCGGCGCCACAATAATGGCTAAACAACTTTCTTTAATGTGCTATTTGAAAAAAGCAAGAGTTGAGGAAGAAGACACGCCACTGCCTTCATCTACCGAGTCCACACAGCCCAGTTCTTCAAACTCATTAACCCAGAAGGCTAGTCAGGTGCTGGTGGCGGCTGCTTTTTGCTCCCTCTCTCCGTCAGCCTGACGCGGGTTTAGCCGCCGATCTAACTGCGATATTATTATTTTAGCTTACTTTATTTTCGGGTAAACTGTCTTTGGACTGCTGACTAGCCTGAATAAAATAGACAGGTTATTGTCTACACTGGTTTGTCCAGCCTTTATTAAGCTCTGTTGGTTGAACATGATGATTTGCCGAATATAAAGGTGTAACTGTTTTTGCAGTTTGTCTATTAATTTTTCTACTCTCTAAGGTTAATTATTACTGAAGTCATTTTTTTTCTATGAAAAACTATAGGCCCACTCACATTTTCACTGGCCCACCCAAAATACAATTTCTGCCTACGCCACTGCCTCATGGTGCATTTAGGGTTGGCTTTAACCATGCATGAAACACTGTTTTCTGTGTTTAAAGCCTGTTAGCTTAATCAAAATGTCATCCTTCAGTGTGAGCTTTATGTGGGGACAAAAAGTTGCAAATCTTTTTTGCCCAGGAAATATGCAAATAAATTGTAATTAAGAGATTTGTAATATCATTTTTTAAATAAATGAATACATTTTTAAAAAACTATCTCAAATTTAAAATCACATTTCAAAAATGTTTTCCATATAATATTTAAAATCTCACTATTTATAAAAAATATTTTTTTAAAGAATCTCAGGCAGTTGTACCTTGTATTGTTCTTGGACCCTGTTCGTGCAATTAAATTATATGAAGATGGTTAAAATAAGCAAATTGAATTAGTTCACTCTCAGTTCATTTGAACTGTCAGGTAGACACAAAGTCTTTTGTCCTATAAATAATTCCTTTGGATAGGTTCTTTAAAACTAGTTAAAGCAAAAACGGTACTACAAACATGATACATCTAAAAAATTAAATAAAATAAAATTATGCATAATGACATGCAGCTAACCCTAAACCAAAACCCTATTCCTAACCCTTTAGTAAGTACATGTAGTTAATTAATATTACTCAGTACTTAAATGTATAATTACACTGTACCAAGGTCCAAGGACAACTTAAAATAAAGTGTAACCACATTGTTTTGGCAGACGAACATAATCGGCTGAACATAACCCACCCCTAGACCTACATGTTAGCATAGTTTCGACAAATGTAAAAATTCTTACCTGAATATACAAAGTATTACAATGGCAGTAGTGAGAGAAATGAGAGAAACACTGTGTCCAATGGTGTAGCCAATCTTTATTGACCTGAAGAAACTATCCTGCAAAAGAAAAGAAAGAATGCGTGTTCACGTAACAGCACTGTACTCAGTTTAAACAACCATGTCTGCTCAAATTTTCAAATTACACTACCGTTCAAAAATTTGGGGTCTGCAATTAAAAAAAAAAAAAAGACAGGCCTATTAATACTTATATTTAGCAAGTATGCATTAAATTGATCCAAGTAAAGACTTTTATAATGTTACAAAAAAATTCTATTTCAAATAAATGCTGTTCTTTTTAACGTTCTATTCAGTAAAGTACTCTATTTATTGTTTTTTCACAAAACTATTAAGCAGCACAACTGTTTTCAACATTGATAATAATCAGTTTCTTGAGCACCAAATCAACATATTAGATGCTGGCCGTTCTTTTAAACGACAACAGCATTTTTGGTGCCTGAAAACGCAAACTTTTAAAAACGGGTTTCAAAGTGCAAGTTTTTGAAAACGGTCTCCGTGTAAACAACAAAAAATGTGAATCTCTGAAGACGATGATGTCATGCACATGCGTATTACGTGTTCAGTCTATAGTGTTTCATCGCCATCTAATGGCCTGGCAGGAAATACAGGGTTTTTAGTCGTTTTCGCAGATCCGTGTGAATGGGGATCATTTTGACAATGGTGTCGTATGTACGCGGAAACCTCAAAGGAAAAACTTCTTCGTTTTAAGCATATCGTTGTCGTGTAAACGTACCCTAACGCTCTCCCTGTTCCCATTTGCCTGTTCTAGTTCCTCATTAGTTTCCATAGTTCCTCATCTGTTGTCATAGTTTCTAATTAGTTACTCACCTGTTCCCAGTTCCTTTGATCAGTCTCCCTGTGTATTTAAGCTCTTAGGTCTCATTTACACTGCAGGTCTTGATGCCCAATTCTGATTTGTTGCCTATATCCGATTTGTTGCCTATGTCAGTTTACTTTCAATTGTGACCCATATCCGATTCATGTGTTTACACTTGCCATACGATCTGAAACATTGTGCATGCTTCTCTTGCACAGATGGACGAATGCGAAATATGCTTGATGCTAGCTCTGCGATATATGCAAAGTTTGCCAAACATCACCATGATTTAGAGGCGGGGGAGAACGAAAAGGGCCATCATTGCAGCCTGCGCCTGTGCTTCAGTTATTGTGTGCGAGACAGATCTCAGAACTGGTGGGAGCATATTGTGGCGGGCTTTAACGAGGAGCAGTGGGTCCGAAATTTTAGGATGAGCAAGCCAACCTTTGATATGTTGTGTCAACGTTTGTCCACATTCCTCTCCTACGTCGACACGCCGTTTTGTCGGGCCATCTGTCCCTTTGCAGATGCGTGTCGGGGTTGCTCTCGTCATTGAACCGCGGAGACGTTGCCTAATGCCTCAGAAAATCCGATCTGCCTGTTTACATGACAGTCGCATTGGCACATATCTTATTTATATCTGATTTATTTCCACATATGAATGAGGCCTAAAACCGATCTCGAACTATCCGAATGCATGCGTTTTTTTCCTGTTTACACGGTCATAGAACACATCCAATCTGTCACATATGAGCAAAAAATTGGGAATTGGGTCACATTTCACTGACAGTGTAAACGAGGCCTTAGTTCCCTTGGTTTAGTGTTCTGTCTCGTTTATGCTCATGTGGTTGTGCTATTCTGTTTTCCTGTCGATCACCTGTGTTGCGTTTTGTATTTATTCATTAAAGATTGTTGTTGATCTCCTTCATATTTGAGTGCTTTACTACACACAGGAATAAATGACATTTTAAAATATACTGAAACAGAAAACTGTTATATTAAATTGACATAATATTTCACAATATTACCATTTTTCTGTTTTTGATCAAATAAATGCAGCTTTAGTGAAGTTTAGGGTTACATTTTTACTATTACCTAGTTGTTCATAAGCTTGCATATTACTAGGATATTGGCTGTTTATTAGTACTTACAAGGCACATATTAATGTCTTATTCTGCATGGCCATATTCTACATCCCTTAATCCCAGCCAATACCTAAACTTAACAACTACCTTACTAACTATTAACGAGCCAAATTAGGAGTTTATTGAAGCAAAAGAAGAGATTTCTTTCAAAATCATTAAAAATTATGACAGTATTGAATAAAACCTTTTGATTACGGTATTATATTTCTTACCACCACTGAATGCACTTTCTAGCGTATCATTCTTTTAAAAGCAAGAAATTTACATTTTGTCTTGGTCTAAAAAAGTATCTCACATGCATGCAAGGTTTGATGTCAGTATTGTGTTCAATGTGTAAAACTAAATATAAAAGATTTTTAAAAAAAGCACATTGCTCTCATGTATGACGAGAGTGGGGTCATTCACTGCCCCTCAAAACAACCTTCATAAACACTACAGCTCATAAAAACAACAGCCATGGTCTCTCTCTCTGACCATTACTCAGTGCACTGGCTTTTTGTCCATTTTATTGGATCCTGATGTCTGAAAAGGAGGATTCTTACTCAAGGTTTTCTTTTCTGTGGTAAGAATGGGAACTGTGCTGTCTCGCCTATGCAAATCTTTAAAAGACACACCTGCATATTTTAAATAACCCCCTCTATAGCCTTTGACCAAAGTTGAATATAAAAACCTGAACATAGCAACAAGGAGCACCAGATGCTCATCAACAAGAACACAAAATTCCTTTTAAGTCCCATGCCCACATATTCCCTGTGGCTCTGAAGACCGAACATGCTGATTACCCATCCTGTTGATGCGAAAACATGGTGGGAAAGATTTCATCAAAGGGCAAAGGTCATTTGCTCTTCACTTAACTATACACTGCTCAAAAGATCAAGGCTTTTCATGTTATATAATAACTTCAACGATGGCTTATTTGTATGTTTACAAATGCCTCCAAGGGCTGACATCTATGTGTATCGCTAAATAAAGGAGCTATTATGTTTGGACTTAGTTTGCACTAGGCAATAAAAGGCAGGCTGGAAAAGGAGGCTAAGAGGTTGACTGAAAAAAGGTGAACATTAAAGCTTGGGGTTTTTGGGTGAGGGACACTCAATTTGACATGAGAATGATCGTTTTGTGTGGGCTAAAAGTCCAATACGTCAAGAGTCTAAGCATTTCAGTGTTGTATAATGCCAGTGGAGTTGAAAACACTAGTTTGACATAAATCTTCTAAGATATTTTGCATGTACGTATGATGCTCTCTAAAGTCTCCCAATTACCTTAAGTGATAGGAAACTACTTTAGCCCTATTTGGATGGTAATTGTTTCTCATGGGGACTTCTAAAAATACATTTGCATGTACCTCAGATGACGATTTATTCACAGTGGGGGAGAAAGTTCTGTGATACTTTGAACCCATGAACGTGTTGCTTACGTGGTCAGTCATGTAATCGTCAGCTGTAAACGACATTTCTGTTATTGCTTGGACAATTAATAAATTCATATTTAATCTTAACAATAGAAAAATAATATCTTATTTATTATTTGATTATTTAAATATCCTGTTTAAAAATAGGAACGTGCTATGGTTTAAATGGTTTTCTGTCTAGCATTTTATCTCTCAAACTGATGGATGTAATTTAAAAAATGTGGATTAGCAGATATACTGTACTTAGTTTAGAGTAAGTTAGTGTAACGTACGGACAGAGGCGGTCGGATCCATGTGCAGAACTTTATTAAGAGGGAACATCAGAATCGAAGTCAAACAGGCAAAAGTCGAGGCAGGCAGCACAGGTTCATAAACAGAGTCCAGATAACAGGCTAAGGTCAGGAATCCAGGGAAATACAAAGAACTAGAAACAGAGAATAATGCTCGGAATGGTACGCTTACGCTATACAATACTTCGCACTGAACACAGGGCAAACACGGGCTTAAGACAGGAAAACTTAATCAGCTTAAAAAAACACACCTGAACATAATAAACATAATGAGTCCATAATGAAACATAACATGAAGAGAGAGTGTCCTCCAGAGGCTCTCGAGGGCACTACAGCTGCCGATCGTCACATAACCCCCCCTCTAAGGAGCGGCTTCCAGACGCTCCTAAGAGCTCCGGGGGGAGGTCAACGGGGGCTGGGATGGAGGGCTAGGCCCATGGAGAGGCAGGAGGTCAGGCCCATGGAGAGATCTGGGGCCTGGAGACCAGAGCAGGGTAAGAGACCATGGGGGAGCACACTTGGAAGGCAACCAGGGTGGAACACATTTGACAGGAGACGAGGGCATAGGAGGCTCAGGAGGAGATAGCGCCGACAAGGTCCATGTCAGCTCTGCCTCCATGACCCTCTCGTGGGACCTCTTACTGCCCCCCACCAAAAAATACTTGGGAAAATCTAGGGGGACAACCTCCGGGCTGGCAACGGACTCTGGGACAGTCTTATGGAGCTTGAGAGACATTGGCAGGGCGATGAGCAGAGACGGGACCGGCAGGGCGTGGCGCAGAGGCGGGGCCGGCAGGGCGAGGCAAAGAGGCGGGGCCGGCAGGGTGAGGCGCAGAGGCGGGACCGGCAGGGCGAGGCGTCTGGGAACACCCACCAGAGCCTGGCGAACCAAATGAGTCCTCCTTCTCCTCCTGCGACGGTGAGTCACTGGGCTAGATACTCTCCCTTGGCTAGATTCACTCACTTGGTTAGATTCGGCACTTGACTCACTTGTCTCGGCACTCAGCTCACTTGACTCACTTGACTCACTTGACTCGGGACTTGACTCACTTGACTCGGGACTTGACTCACTTGACTCGGGACTTGACTCACTTGACTCGGCGGCACTTGACTCACTTGACTCGGCGGCACTTGACTCACTTGACTCGGCGGCACTTGACTCACTTGATTCGGCAGCACTTGACTCACTTGATTCATTCGGCTCGGCACCTGACTCGGGACTTGATTCGGGGCTAGATTCACTTGACTTGGAACTTGACTCAGGGCTAGATTCACTTGACTCGGGATTCGATTCTTTCGAGTCGGCTGGCACGTGCTCAAACTCCAGTTCGGCCGGCGAAACCTCCGCTGTATCTGGATTAGCAAGTTCAACAAAACCAGTGCGGAATGAGTGAGAGAAATCAGCCGCAAACGAACCTCCCCGATGCAGGGACAAGAGCAGTTCCTCAGGATCTTCTCCAGCGGGGAGTTCAAAAGCCTCTCTGAATAGGGCGATAAATACCTCATAAGAAGGGAACGACATCCGACCTGGTTCCCAGAATGTACCGACCCACTCCAGGGCCTTTCCAGTGAGCAGTGAGCAGATGAAGGAAACGCGGTCGTCATCCGAGGTGTACAACTGGGGCTGAAGATTCATATATACGCTGCACTACTGAAGGAATCCTTCACACGCCACAGGTGAGCCATCAAACTTGTCAGGAAATGCCAGACTGAGATAGTCAGATGCGGTACTCACACTGGGTTGCGGTGGAACAGGTGCAGTGGCAGTTCGGGCTTGATTAGCCGTTGTGCTTGAGCTCTGCGTAGACCAGGTTTGCACGGAGCTTGCTAGTTCCTCGACGAGAGAAGTTAGTCTCGCCAGCTGAGAACGATGAGAGGCTAGCATGGAAGCTCGGGTCTTGACCACGGTGGATAGATGCTGAAAGTCTGCTGGATCCATGTTTGGCGAAGTATTCTGTAACGTACGGACAGAGGCGGTCGGATCCATGTGCAGAACTTTATTAAGAGGGAACATCAGAATCGAAGTCAAACAGGCAAAAGTCGAGGCAGGCAGCACAGGTTCATAAACAGAGTCCAGATAACAGGCTAAGGTCAGGAATCCAGGGAAATACAAAGAACTAGAAACAGAGAATAATGCTCGGAATGGTACGCTTACGCTTTACAATACTTTGCACTGAACACAGGGCAAACACGGGCTTAAGACAGGAAAACTTAATCAGCTTAACAAAACACACCTGAACATAATAAACATAATGAGTCCATAATGAAACATAACATGAAGAGAGAGTGTCCTCCAGAGGCTCTCGAGGGCACTACAGCTGCCGATCGTCACAGTTAGAAAGTCTCAAAAGATCACATGATTTTGTTCTCTTAATTCCTTTTCTTCTTAACAGCTCCCATTCACTGTAGTAGAGTGGTGTAGTAATATAATTCTTGTAAACATTTTCCAGTATTTCAGTAATAAAAGTATCCATATTTAAAATGTGACGCGCAATGGTGCGCAGTGGTCAAAAAGGATTTAGACAATGACTTTTGAATTAATCCCTTCTTGTAAACTCAGAAATGTGGATTCAGAGTTCGGATGGCATTTAAATTCAGAAAAACAGTAGGTAATTCGGCCAGGAATTTTTACGCAGATGGTTGGAGAAAAAAACTTAGACGGCAATAAAAATCACTGACAAGCCCCTGTACTGTAAAAGTTAAAATGATCTTACGTCCCCGTGAGAAACAATTACTCGTCGAGCAGAGAAACAATTTGTACTTACATCGTCAACAGTGCCATTCAGATTATAGCCACAATACACTGCGATTTCCATTGGGTCCATTTCAGTCCAGCCATCAGCAGTGCAAGTCTTTGAGAGGTTACCTGTGTGAGAAATGTAAAGGTCATTAACCTCAAGATACACATGCTGGCTGCTCTATTTAGAAGTTGCATCTGTTTATTACTCTTTTGATTTTAACTGAAACAAAGTGAGCCCTGAGAGCTGACGTCCTGGAGTGAGTCCACACAAAGTTAAATGGCCACGTCATCCCTCTCGCTGAGGTGTTTCTTGGCACTTCTCACTGCACAGTGGCCCACTGAATGCAAAACTCTGTATCAAATCAATACGCAATGAGACCCAACTGAGCACTGTGATTCAGTGAGCATAATGTTTTGATCTATGCTGTATACAAATTTGAACAATGAATTATTGAGATGCCCCCCCCCCCCCCCCCCAATGTTCAAACCAAATCTACACCCTTGACTTAAGGGAAATGTATAAATTAAATGTAACGTGTATGTTCTGTTTAAGCCTGCCTGAGTTCGTAGTTTGTTTCCTTGGTAACTCATTAGTTAAATCATTCTGTTTAGTTCCCTCATTATTCCCCAAGTTGTAATCGAAAGTATTCAACCCCAATTTCAAATCAGGTTTATTGGCCAAATTTACAGACTTTCAGCTGTTTGCAATGAAAAAAATCCAACAAAAGTAATTGAAATAGCTCAACACAACAAATGTTTCAAGTGGTTTCCCCAAATTCAACTGAAACCTTTGACTTCTGGAATCTCAAAAGTATTCAACCCCCTAAATATAATCCCTCCAACAGCACAAATCTGCAAAGCTGGTGTTGTCTAAAGCACACCTGATGCAATTAATCAAGGGCTTCATTGAACACATGAAATATCTGAACTGGCTAGGTTTGTTGAGTGTTACGTTTGACTGCATGTTAGAAATATGGCGAAGTCAAAAGAATTGTCCAAAAAGTAAAGAGTTTCAAAAGTAAGTTTCCTCACCCTTCACAAACAAGGAAGGATACAAAAAGATAGCGAAGGCACTAAATGTTCCTAGAGACAAAGTTAATAGAACAGTGGTTGCACTACCTGGCGGGTCAGAAAAAGGAAGCTATCAACCAAATTTCTGAGAAGTCAGGTTCAGAAAAACCCTTGAGTGACTGCAAAAGACCTACAGCAAGACTTGGTGGCTACAGGCACAGAGGTTTCAGCTCGCACAGCAAGGCACGTACTAAACGCATGCATTTTCTATGCTATAACTCCAAGATGTACATCACAACTGACCCAAAAGCACAAGAAAAGTCTGCTACAATGTCTTGCTCAAAATCATATAAATAAGCCACAGAAGTTTTGGGATTCTGTTCTGTGAAGCAATGATGCAAAACTTGAACATATGAACATAACTTTTCAGTCCTATGGATCAGTGGTATGTCTGGAGGAAGAAGAATGAAGCATATGCTGAAAAGAACACTCTGCCAACAGTTAAGCATGGTGGTGCTCGGTGATGCTCTAGGGCTGCTTTGCATCCTCTGGCACTGGAAACCTGCAGCGTGTGGAAGGCAAGATGGATTCATTAAAGTATCAGGAAATCCTAGGAGAAAACGTCATGCCGTCAGTGAGAAAACTGAAGCTTGGACCTTCCAACAGGACAATGATCACAAGCATACCTCAAATTCCACCAACGCGTGGAAATTTCTACAGTGGCCATCACAGTCAACTGACTTAGAAAATATCTGGTGGGATTTGAAGAAGGCGGTTGCAGCACGCAAACCCAAGAATATTTCTGAACAGCAGGCCATTGCTCATGAGGAATGGGCTAAGATTCTTAAGAAGCGCTGCCAGAAGCTGGTGTCTGGTTATACATCTCGTTTGTAGCAGGTCATAACAGCAAAAGAGTGTTCTACTAAGTACTAAAGATGCTTGCCATGAAGGGCATGAATAATTTTGAGACTGCAGACGTCATTAAAAGTTGCATTTTAATTTAAATTTGGAGAAACCACTTGAAACATTTGTTGAGCTATTTCAATTACTTTTGTTTGATTTGTTCACTGCAAACAGCTGAAAGTCTGTAAATTTTGCCAATAAACCTGATTTGCAATGGGGGTTGAATAATTTGATTACCACTGTATTTAAGTCATGAGTTCTCCTTAGTCCTTTGTCTTTGAGATAAGTGGTTGTGTTAGCTGATTCTCCTGAGTTCTCCTGTAATTTCCTAAGTGTGATATTAAAGACTGGTTGTTATATTTCCTATGTCGTGCACTTCATTACCACAGCCACCATTAAAAAATTCAAATATTTTTTGTAATTTCATCAGAGCCAATTTTTGCTCTCACAAAAATTACCCTGACAATTTGACAGATTAAAACTTAAACTGGTGAATTTTTACTAAATACAACAAAAACATCCTAATTTTCACAACCAATTAAAAACAGTAGGCTACATAGTATTATAGGTATTTAAATTTGTGAATTATTTTTTAAATCTGTTAATTTATATGAATTATTCAACACGACCAATTCACAAGAATGAGTCAGGCTTTCCAATACAACATATGAGAGAGAGAACAGTTTAAGATGAACCAATTCACAAAACTGGGCCTTTTATATATTTATATGAGCCTTTTTTCACCTGATCACTTCATGTTTCTACTGATTGGATAGTTATCTGATTTGTTAAGACGGTTCCATTTACACTTGGCCACATAAATTAATCAGACTTAAGAGCATTTTATATAAGAATAAGGGGGGGCATTCAATGACTAGATGTGGGTATCCCACTACAATGATAGCCTGGAAATCCAGACCCAAATCCGAAAGATTAAGGGTCTGGCATTGAGTAATGAAAATCGCCCAACTCGAGGGACGGCACCAAGCATGCATTTGAAAATCTCATTGCACGCAATTGGATAACACTACGACCAATCACAACAATATGCCCCATATGTTTAGCTACCAGCGAAGCTAACTGGTAGATTAGACAGCAAAAACGTCCTTCTTGCAAAGGAACGATTCGAGCGCCGTCTTCTGTTCATCTTTTAGATAAAAAGCCAAGTCTAACTCTTTCATTGTAGCGGCCAAAGCCGTTTCAAACAACTGGTGTTTATCCATAGCCATCTTGCAATATTTACTAATAACTTTTGACGTCGCAGCGCTGTTGTCATCTGTTTAGCTTGCCTCTGGCCCGTCTATATCAGATACACCGATGTGATTGGTGCAGCTCGGCTACAAGGGCATAGTTAATGAACATCATTATTACTCAATGCCAGAGTGACTCGCTGAGCAAATTCAAATTGTGCTCTCGCGAGAACTCTGGATTTCCAGGGTACTACAATGATGCATTTAGAGAGAGAATTGTCTCATGGTCCACAGACTGTGGAAAATATGATGTATACTTCAGGAGGAAGGCCACTTAATTCCTCCTCAGTGAATTCATAGCGGATCCTGTGTTACAATGTCACACATTGATCCAAAACAAGCCAACCATTTTTACTCAGGCTTGAGTTAAAAAAGACTTCAGGCCCTGTGTCTTTTTATTTCAATGCGCTTATTATGTGAACACTGAATAAATGAAAAAAAAGCAAGCAATGAGGTTTCTTAACATTGCAAAATGAAAATAGAATAGAGGCATACAATAGAGCACTCAAATGGAAACACACTTAAAAAAAAAAAACTTTCCAAAGGGAACAAATGCCAGCAGAAACAGGTTAAATGCATCAAATCTAGGCACAAAGACCACCTGTGCCTGCCCCGACAGAAGGTGACCTCCATCTAGACATAACAATAATGGCCACTGCTGAATTAATCTCAAAAGTACAATACGCGTTTTCCAACTGTTGGAAAGACTTATTGGTAAATTAACTCAATTAATGGAATTTTTTACTTTTTCCCCACCAAAAACTTAATGCAAGTGGCAAATCATACACTGGATTAAATTTGAAGACGGTTAAATAGGGGAAATGATAATACGGTCTATTTGGCCATTGCTATGTTTAGATTTGGCCTACTGACTCACCCAGGGAAACATTGGGTAAAAACATAAATCTAAATCTTAAGATGTGCATGTCAGAACAAATAAACCTCTTCTACATTCACCGCCTGTGTGAAAATTTAAATAATCCATAAATAACTCTAAGATACAAATATTAAGAAAATTATGTTTTATCTCTCTTTTAATTAACCAAAGAAGACATTGTGACATTTGTTTTTGTCAATAGGCTTATGTTTCTCTAATAACCTGAGAGTTTTATTGTTTCTTATATGTATTGATCTGTTTATTTGTCATTTGGAAGATGCACCATAAGAAGTCAATAATGGTAAGTACTAAACACAGCTTCAGAATGTCAAGAGTGCAAAAGCAGGTTGAACTTGAAGGTTTCTTCGTCAGCAAGTTGATTGGCTAATTGCCTCATTAAAAAAAAACAGACCTAAATAAATTAATTGACGGAAAGCACCAATATTAAATGAATCAACAGATTAATCAACTCTGCAATGATTAATGACGTGATTAATATGGTTCAATACTAGCTTGCGATTAACATCAATTAAATTGTTTCTGTTACTGATAATTATACGGTCCACTATATTAGGCAATAAGAATAAAACAGCAGTAAAAGTGAAGCTATTGTAACATACAGGATATTATAAAAATAAAAGTAATTTGTAGACTACTTAAAACTGCAGATAATTCTATCAGATTTGGAAATGAAAAAGACAATAGAATAAGGATTACATTTTCTACTGCAAAAGATTGTCTGGGGTGTGAAGAGTTTATCAAATAATCCTGACATCATAATAAAATGTTGAATGATCCCATCTAAAACAATTTGAACACTGTCAACTGCTTGAAATTCAGTTGACTTTCACCTACTAGATTATTTATTTTTTGACATGCACGTAATGTATCTTTCGGAATTTTTTAGATGCAAAATCTCATTCCCATAATCCAACAGCACAACACACAACATCTGAATCATCAGAGACTCTTTCCATAATTATTAGTCAATATTTTAGCATTGATTTAAACAATTTAATGCATTAATAATGAAAGGTGCATCATGCTTAACATGTAGAATTAAGATTCTTTTTCACTTGCTATAA